AACAAATATAAAGAATAAAAGATTTATATTATATAAGCCAACAATGCGTCAAATATTTTCAATATATTCAATATCAAGTTATGGCAAGTCATTGCTTACTTGAAAAGTAGAAAATCGACGAAAATTATGGAATCACAATTCACACCCTTCAGAATTCCACTATCGCATCTCACAAGCCTGAAATCAAAATCATAGGCTTGTAATACACAAAAAGGAAGTGTTCTTAAGCCATTAATTCTCCAGTAACTCAAAGGCCACAAACTATAATTCAGTGAACTGAGACACAATCAAAATAAAAAGAAAAATCACAATCACAATCATTTTAATAGAGATGATTTCAATTGTAAAATAAGGATCTATCTATAGGAATATAAAAGTTCAATAATTGATCTCAAATCCAACATTCTGTATTAATAACAATATAATAACAGAAACAAAAGGAGCATGCGTAAAATAAAAAACAATTTTCGAACATTGAAAGAAAATTCCCATATACCCAATAAAGATTCAATCTTCAATTGCATTTCTTCACAAATTTTCTAGATAAAATCACCAAAAAGCACATTAATATACATATAAGAATAAAACATTCCCGATTAACATGAAGTCTATAGATATTCTTCATCATATTAGATTGTTAGTTACCAAATCAAACAAAAACAAGAACATGAACACGGATAAATCAAATTCATGATAAAAAATACTCACAAATTGTGTAAAGGATATCACTTGAGTACGGTGCAAATTTTCAATAAAATAGCCGTATTCAATCCACTTAATCTGAGAAATTGTTCGATGCAAAAAAGAGAAGGAATACATATAAGAGTTTATACCGATAGACAAGCAGTGTCGTGGCATGAGAGAGAAGCAAGAAGACAGGAGATGGCGTCGTCAAGGGTGGGTTTCGACGTTTCGCCTTTTTGGTTTAGTAGTTCTTCCCGCACACACTGTTTCGAGGTGACCCAATATGACTCATCTTTTGGCCCAACACGGCCTATTCTTGACCGGGGTTGGTCCAATGAACAGTCCATGTTGAACTGACTTGGACCTGGACTTTTCGAGTACCGAGCTGTCCGATATTTTTTATCACATATTCCTTTGTCTTGGCGTGGTGGTTGTGCAATTCGCATAAAAAAAAGACCATCTAGCATTGAGGAATATGGATTGTGGAATAATTCAAAAGCAAGTAGTTAGAATTCTTCAGTGGGAATATATTCCCCACAGTTGGGATTAGTAATTTATTAAATGTGTGATTTTGTCCTTTAACATGCCCCCACTCGTTTAAGCAAAACAATTTTGAAATTCGTGTGCTTATTTTTTTAATCTTAATCTGATCGAATTGTTCGTTTGAATTTAATAAGCTCTGATATCATATTAAAAATTGAGATGTCATCTTAAAAAGTCAACTTTAAGAGAAGTAGTCCAAACACTTTTAAGTTAGTCTATATTTTTATCTTTATACAATATGAGATTTTATTCTTTAACAAAATAATCTATAATAAGTTGCAAAATACGTGGTTTCTTCTTTATGTTACTGTATCCAATATATTGTACCAATTATGTCAGGAGTATATCCATGAAGATAAGAATATATGCTTCGACATTATTAAAACACTAAGAACAACTTGAAAATGACCAGCATCTATTTCACTCCAAATAACTCTAGAGAAATTCTCACATACAACAACCAACACTAAAAATAATCTGTACTTCTCATGGCTCAATTAAGCTCTCTCTCTGCTGAAATAGAGACACTGACCCATGTCTTGAGCCTGGTCGAGGCCTTTCGCTCGTTCGACTCTGACAATGACGGATCGATCAACGCTCAAGAGCTTGGGGGACTAATGGGATCACTTGGATACAACCCAAGTGAACAAGAAATCAATACTCTGATGCAAGAAGCAAACACCAACAGAGATGGACTCTTGAGCATTTCTGAGTTTCTTGACATGAATACTAAGGATTTGGGACTAGGAGGTCTAAAAGATATTCTTAAAAGGGCTTTTGAAGAATTGGAATTTCAAGGAGAAGATTTAGTGACGGGAGAGGACCTCTATGAAGTTGTTGGGAATATTGGAACAGATCTTTCCCAAGAGGAATGTCAAGATATCATAGCAAGCATGGATGGAGATGGTGATGGGGTTATAAGTTTTGAGGATTTCAAACTTATAATTAATTCACTTGGTTAGAATTTAGAGTCTATGATATACATATGGATCATTATGTCTTTTCTTTCTTATATGTATGTAAGTTGCAATAATTCTGTCAATTTATTTGACAGAAGTCTGTGTAAGATGTTTGGATTATTCTCTAAAACGTTGAGTTATTGACTTTTGCGTGGCTCGTAGAGGTGTGAATCCGGCCCAGTGGCCTGGCCAACCCTGCACGAACCATGTCTTGGGGGTTCATGCCGGGCTTTGAAATTTTCACTCTAGATTGGTTTGGGAGAAAATTTTAAGGTCGTATCATGCTCATAGGCAAGCTGCATAGAGAACTTCAGTATATAGCCCTTGATTTTCACTTTTTTTCAAAATACATTTTTTTTTTCTCTGAATCACACATTCTTTAAACCTTGTTTATCCACATTTGTGTTAAAATATATTTTTCTTTTTCTTTTTTTTTAATCACATTTTTCAATAAAATAATATTACACACAACCCAAAAACTTTTCTTATATTTTTAACCACAAACTATTATTTTAAAATGCATTCTACACAAAAATGGGGCTCAACTGAAACAGGTCCTAATAGAATAATATTACATGTAAATTCAAAAAATTTCGTTATTTTTTAACCATACATTCTCTATCAATCTATTATTCCAAAATGCATTATTAACATTTTAATGTGGCTCAAATGGTTCATAATATATAGCCTCTGTTAAATTTTAATTTATTTTTCTCTCATTTTATCAACCACACATTCTATCAATATAATAATAATACACATAAACCCAAAAATAATAATGATAATAATAATAATAATAATAATAATAATAAACCCAAAAATTCTCTTTACTTTTTAACCACACAATCTCAAAAAAATACTATTCTAAAATCATTTTTTTCCAAATAATGGAGCTCAAACAAGGGCATTTAACTGAACAATAGTAGATATATAAGCATTGTTCTAAATTCTAAGTAAGATTAAGTCTGTTCATACTTGAAATTTAAACTGTAAACTCGAAATTTGGATTTCATATACGAAATTTCGCACTCACACTCCAAATTACACATTAAAATTCAACCATCATTTCTCATCTTGACATGTAACAAAAGCGTTGGGTATTTCGCGAGGAAACTCGTGATTATCTGGCACAAACTCGACGTTTGCATAGGAAACTCGTTGGTTGCAAAGCAAACTCGAAATATGCATTTCAAACTCGAAGTTTGTTTGGAAAGCTCTAAGTTTGCACAACAAACTCAAAATTTATAAAGCAAACTCGAAATGTGCATTTCAAACTCGTAGTTTACACAGAAATCTTAGAGGCCGTTCTCTTCATATTTCAGTTTTCTGTTTTGAGTTTTGAATTCGTTTTGTGTTTCGAGCATCTATTTTGAAATTGCTGAAAATGCGTTCTTTTTGTCATTCTGGAAAACTGTTTCTGAAAACATAAAATTAGAAAATGCGTTTATTTTGAAATTTTGAGAAATTTTTTTATAATATTTTAAAATTATTCCAACCGATCAAATTCAACACTTTCATCTAGGGAAATAAATCACCTAAATCAAGTTGTCCTGCCAAAGTTACAGCTTCTTTATAAACCTTATTTGAGTGTCCGAATGCAGTTCTAAATGTTATAAAACTTGTACACAAGAAAATTTTCTCCATTATAAATCAAATGGTGCTTCGGAAGTTGACCGGATCAATTCAACTAGCCACATGCCTAATCCTTCCTGATTGAGGCAAATGATGGAACATTTTTCAGGCTTAACATTTCCAATATAAATACCATTTCAAATAATAAATAGGATTACAGGCCTTTATGTCAGTTAAATGCTTTCAATCAACAATCCCACATGTGCAAAATCAAACCCAAATCACCTCGCATACCGGACATACGAATAAATTCAAAAGAATGTCTTTTTTATTTGTACAATACATAATGTCAATGTAATCGTTTTCCAGTTCATCATACAATGATTAAAGGAAGTTATCCCAATCTTACTTTTTGGTCATGTTTTGCTCAGCATGGACTTGACCTTCTCTTGGTCTCGCCTTTTGGTCTTTACAAGTTAGTATGTCCTAGCATCAACTGGGATTGACACTATGAGCCTGCAATGAAACTCCTATAAGTCAAGGCACCTAGAGTGATGACACTAAGCATTTTTAATTATCATAAACAAACGGAAGATACAAGTATAATGCGCAGCTTTAAGATTATTGAAAATGGTTGCACTACTCATATTTTATTATAACTCCCATATTTTCAAATAAATTTTTTGGAATAAAATTCGCAATAAAAAACAGCTTTGTAAAGAGAGGGTGCTTGCAATCTCAATAAAGTGTTCATAAATGGTGATCCTAAATCAACGTTTGCATCCAGTTTCATACAAGCAACTCGAACAACAGTGCTATAAACAGCCTCCTCCACTTTACCCTCCCTTAAACACGCAGCCATCATCACATTTACAGTTGCACAATCATAACTAAATTTATTTCAAATCACATCATTAAACAAAGTAAAAGCCTCCTCTTTAATCTAGAGCTTCAAGATTTAATGTGGTTCTAAGCTTAACAATAAGATTAATCTAACCATCAGCAATGAATAGCAGGATTAAGAAAACACCACCTTCATCAAATGCAACAAGTAACCATAATAGTTTGAACAAATAGACATTAGAAGTGCAGTGCAGAGTGAGACAAAAATCAAATTGAATCAATGAATTCCTATTTCATAATCACCCTGTTACAATCTAACAAACATATCAATTTTGATACAAAGATGTTTTCTTTTCAACCAATTATCAGTTCCATCCCATCTCAATCTCTATACATGAATTCTATATCAATTTTTCACTGCAACAACCAAGAATCTTTAAATTGTTCTAAAGCACTATCCCTAAAATTATTGACTCTCACAAGACAAAAATGAGTACAAATCACCCCAAACCTATACCACCACCAACCCTACTAGTCTTCAACAAATAACAAGTTGGTCAACATTCAACCCCCTTACCCTGCACCACCACACCCCATGCCCTTGTTACACCCTCTTCAACAAATCATTGGTTCGTCTTCTCATTATTACAACCATTTTGCTCTAATTAGTCAACAAAAATAAGCCCATCTAGGGATTTTGATTGCCCACTTTCCCATTCACCTTCACAATTGGCCATTTCTCAAAAATGCCCTTTTCTGTCTTGAACCTCATCCCATCATCTTTTGTATAGATGTGGACTAATAAGGGAGCCTGAATCAGATTCTTTACAGTATCCGGAATTGACTCCTACATCCAAGAATCAATTCTTTTTGGGAAAAAGGCATCTTTGTTCTGCAAATCCTCCTTAAAAATGGTTGAATTCCGTGAAGTGATTGATGAAGATAAAAACTTTGGAGGGTTTTTCTTGGTGGAATTAGACAGGGATAAACCTGGGTTTGAAGAAAAAATCTTAGTGGATTTGTTATTGGCAAGAAATGAGGGATTTATGTTATGAATCCCAATAGCCGCTGCCATAATCTTGAACGACGGCGATTGGGAAAATGGTGAAAATGATCCGACAAAAATATTTATCCTGCAAAAATGGATTATTTTTCTTTGCCATGAGGAATTATTATGTATTCATGAGAGAAATTGGAGAGAGGATGGCCGCGTAAAGGTGGATCCTCGAAGAATTTCAAGTTTATGATGATCAAGCTGTCCCCAAATTGAGCATAATATATTGTAGAGGGAGAATTCGATTTCTTACTTGAGGAAAAGGCTAGACAAACAAACTTGAATGGCTCTCCGACGTCAAAGAGAGAGGAGGCAGAGATGGGCCTAAACCACAGCAGCATCGCGACGAATGGGTCGCGACGCTGCGTTCACAGAAGAGTCGCCTCCCCACGTCGGCGTCGGCATTGGCGTCGGCGCATCTCCTTCGTGGGCATCGATAAGAGAAAAGCCGGCGTCCAGAGAGAAGGAAGGATTGGAAGAAGAGGGAAGGATTGATTGGAAGAAGGGGGAAGATATCGAACCGTCAAAGGAATTGGGATTGGAGGTGTTACTGTTTTGAAACTGCCGCTTCCCGTGTTTTCCAATTTTTATGAGTTTTGTATTGAAAACGCCTAAAATGACTTTTTCCTCATTTTGGTGTTTTGTGTATAAAAAAAAATTTCGTTTTCAAAAACGCGTTTTCGAAAATATGAAAGAGCGCGTTTTTACTGTTTTGGAAAATCGAAAACAGAAAAAGTCCGAAAACGACAAAGGGAACAGGCCCTTAAGAGTTTCAAGAAAACACGAAATTCGCAAATCACATCCAAGTTGCAACCTCAAAATTTGCACGGCAAGCTTGAAGGTTGCAATGCTGACTTGAAGTTTGGACTACATACTCGAAATTTTGCATTCACACTTCAAAATTACAAACTCAAATTCAATCAATATTTCTAATCTCGACATGAACCAAACTAGACATTTAACGAGCAAACTCGTGATTTTTGGCACAAAGTCAGCGTTTGCAAAGAATGCTCCGTATTTACAAAACAAACTCAAAATGTGCTTGCAAACTTGGAGTTTACACTAAAAGCTCGAAACTCAAGATTTGTACAACAAACTTGAAATTTTGGAAAGCAAACTTGAAATGTGCACTACAAAGTTGTAGTTTTCACAGAAAAATCGAAATTTGTAAATCAATCATGAAATTTGCACTATAAACTCGAAATTTACACGACGAGCTTGAAGTTTGCATTGGAGACTCGAAATTTGTATTCAAACTCCGAAATTGTATTCACACGCTACATTATACACGAAAACCTTAAACCATCATTTCTCATCTTTAAACGTAAAGACCATCCACTTTCTACATTTCGTCAACAAATTTTCAAAAATACAATCACACCTAAATCATCATCACTCATTCCCAATGAAATAACAAACAACTGAAATTGATCTTCTGCCCCCAGTTCATGAGAACAAAAGTGGTTGTCCATCCTCATAAAAGGTTCATGAGAAATGGTTGTCCATCCTCGAAAAAAAATGGAAATGAATAGTA